CTTGCAACAGGTCAGGAACAGAGTCAACTTCAAATCCCACTTAGAAATTACTATGAAAACATATGGACATCTATACTGAGTGATGTTGAATTTAGAGAGGTCACTGACCTTATGAAAGTGGATAAAAAGGAAAATTGCAGACTGTGATGGAAAAACACTGACTTCATTACAGTGAATGAACAGAAGAGCAGAGAGTGAAGAACTGTATGTATAATTAATTCTAGTGACACAAACCTACAAAATTCATGAGAGCACTGTAAAATAGTGGGGAAAATATCTTTTTACAATGTATCAAATTCAGCTTCTACAGCATAAAAATATTCTTCTTCATATGATCAATAAGAAAGCCTTTCCTATTCACCAGAAATATTTTATAAATCTTTAAGTTCTGCTAATTAAGCAAATTATTGAAGAGCTATGCATTCTCATAGCTTGACATTTTTTCCACCTTGATTCAAATCAGAAATTTTAGGAGATGCACAGAGTGTGTTCAGGGTCTTCTACTGGGAAACATAGAGCTCTGGGAAGTTCTTTCATGCAGAGTGAATGGAAGAACCAAAGAAAGACTACCTGTTCTTGTAAAAAACACATTAAACATATTAAGCATAACCTATCACTTTCTTTCTTGTGTGGCCCTCCCCAAACAAACAAAATACATACATACATACATACATACATATATATATATATATATATATATTATATATATATATATATAAAAATCCTTGGGATATTACACATCTGGCCCACTGCTAAATGGCTGCACAGTACCTTCACTTGCCAAAGAACCAAAATAATCTACCATTGAATTTTTAGGCTGGTAACAGCTGAGTCTGTATAAGCTGCTGGATCACTGTGGTTGTGGCAGAAAAGACAAGACTCAGTGAATGGTACAGCACTAAGAGCTACCCCAGGGGACCACTGGGCTGCACCTTGGATCCTCGGCCCCCATCATTTTGTTCTTGGATTTTCAAAGCAGCTTGGCAGAATGGGAGATGAATGCCACTTCTTTTCTGTAATTCTAGCTTTGAGGCGATCTCAGTTTCCACAGCTGTGCAGAGTCTTTACAGATTGCTGTATACAAAATTTCATCCCTCCCCCTGTGGAAGCAAAGTCTTGCCTAACCTGCTGTTCAAACACAGGGTGAAGGGAGGGTTTCCGAATTGCTACACTGCTCGCTGCACAGTGCTCACTGTAGTCAACTGGCATTCAAATAAGATAGCATCAGATTAGACTTGAAAAGAATTCCTTCAGCCAATTTTCTCCTTCCTTTAAATAGACAAATGATAAGTGATCAAGTGAAAAAGAAATGGAATCCTAGAAAATTCTGTTGCCGTGATTACGTTTCTCCCACAGAGGTGGGAAGAGATCTACTCTTCCGACCTAGAATAGCAGAACTAGCTCTCAGGCAAACCTGCTGGACAAGAAAATCTGAAAATGACTGAGGATCATATCACTGTATTTAAAAAAAAGACAAACTTCCCTATAACTAATAAGATATAATTTGTTAATTTTTCCATTTTATTTTAAATAGCCAAAAGTCTCATAGCAAATATGCAAAGTAACCGGAAGAGAGCAGTCCTTCTTTGCTCTAGCCTTCACCACTATTAGGAGGTGAAAAATGCCTTCCTTTTTTCTTATATCCAAGCCAAAAGAAGAATGAAAGATTAACCTTAGCAACTTAAGAAGCAATATAATTTTGATTTAGGACAGATTACCTCATACTTGTCTGGAACTTGAACAAATGAAGACTGAAAATCGCGTGAGCAGCTGTGATTACTGACATCAAGCCTTTTACCCTCCTTAGAGAAAGCTGGTTCAGTGGAAAATTAGAAGAGAAGACCAGCCAGGTGCTTTAGGCTCCCTCACCGTAGAGTATATATTCAGCAAATAATTCCAATAATGATAAATTCAAGCTTAAATAACTATGCTAGCCCATATCTTTAATGTAGAAAATCATACAATATAGTTGCACCATACATAAAAATATATAGTAAGTACATATGTCTCAACTTTCACAGCAACACAATTTATCAGTATTTTTATTATAATTAAGGGGTTTTACTACTTGTAAAGCAGATCAAATTTATGTTAATGACACAGTCACATTTCATCATTACCAGGCTCCTGTTCATCAAGTCAGTCAGCAAAAAAATTCATGCCTAAGTGATACCAAAAGTTTGTTCTTCCCTAATTTATGTCTCCCTAATGAATTCCATCTGAAATTTGGAATCTTAACCAACAATCCTGTTTTTTTTTTTGTCTACAGATTTTCTTCTCTTACATCCATTGAACATTTTCTCCACATCTTCCCAAATAAGATCCACTGGGAATATGGCTACCAGACCTACAACTGGAAATGTGAGCTCTAGTCTATTTGTTGCTGTGGACTTCCTTGTTTTATATTTCAAGGCAGTTGTTTTTGTTTTGTTTTTCCTTCTTTTCTGTCACAACCCCTCTCTTTCACAATATTTCCACAGAGCACAAAGCAATAGGTACTCAAAAGCTGTTCAAGGCAAGCTCAAAACACTCTAGCAATTCCAGCTGAGACCAGAAGAACTGGATGGTTTTCCACAACCATTTTCTCCAAAGCTTCATTCTCTCCATTTGCATACTTTTTTTTTTTTTTTTTTTTTTTTTGACACTTTTTGTCTCCTAACTTGTTCTTCCACTTGAACGCCAGTTGGTCACCACCATTATTCTCACAAACATCTGATACAACACAGGAATTATCATAAATGCTTCCATTATAATAAGAACCCTCAAGATGAGTGATTTCATCGGTTGTGCACTCAACCAAAGAATTTAGGATGACTACCAACCATTTGCTTTGCTACAAACCTACCCACACAGATTTGTATTTACACTGATAGTTTCAGGATGTTTACAGCCAAAATACATACTGTGATTTTTGCTATGACCTACTCTGGCTACTACTGTACTATGTACTTTTATATAAACAAATAAAGTACAAGCCAAACTTTCACTGTTTGCATAACATTACTTTTAGCATCAAGAGCTCACAATCATGTGCATACCAAGCAGGAGTCTAGACAATGTTCTGACACCACATGTAGGAACCCGTATGTTAATGTAATCACTTTAAAAATAGATCTTATGCTAATTCAAAAACCACCATCTTTACTGTTCAGAACAACCCTGTTGTCTTTTGTTTTTAAGCTCTTTTTGCTTAATTGGCAAACTTTCAGTTATTACTAGTAACAACATTTTTAAAATATGTTTTATGCCTGTTTCCAGATCAATTATTTCCTAATAATCTTGGCTTTTTCGTCTTGGAGATGAAAGCTTGCTGCTTTGTTGACTCCTAAAGGAAATCCTCCATAATTTTTCAAACATTTCTGTGAAACAGGATCTAATTATGACAGAAAAAACATCAAAAGTGAAGGTATGGTAAATGCAGATACACAGTACCTATAAATTACAATGACTTAAGACTGTGAAAGAAGTTTCCAGGTGGGGAAGGAGAAGGAAGATAATAAGAGGTGCTACCAGTTCACACAGTAGATCTGTGCACATGCTAAAAAAAGCCACCACCTCAACAATAACAACAAAAAGCCCTCACGGTTCAGATTTCACCAACAGGGCCAGCTCAGAAATGGATGGACAAATATCTATGCGTGTTGTCTTGTGGAAGTACATGGGGGGTGTACTTAAGTGCTACATAAAGGAACTGAAGAACTCAAAGTCAGGGAATGAAGGTATCAAGGTCAACTACTGTACAACAATAAGAGAAAATTTTTGCAGAAGTGAGGCAATCTTTTCCAGGTTGTTACAGCTTTGGAAAGCTTAATTCAATTAAATTGACAGTTTTTGATGATAGATAAATAGATTGATAGAGAGGTATTACATGAGGTATTGACTTCAATGACGCACAAGCTCTCAAGGTCAACTTGAGAGAGCTGTATCTTTATAGCCACCAATAGCAGACTGAGTGGCCACAGGAGATATTAATCACATAACACAATGCCTCACTCTTCTCAGGGAACAAACTGGACACCCAATTAAAGGATTACTTTCTTCCAAGTTTTTCTTTACCAAAATAAATCAGTAAGTAAATGCAGCTTGTTTCATCAGTGGTTACAAGAACACCTCATTGGTAATGATTTCTTTTGCATACCATGAATCAGGTACTAAAAACTTAATTCATATCGCTTGGGGCAGTTGCTTACTAAGTCTTTAAAGATCAAACATATCCTAACAACCCAAGCCACCGAGACGCAGCAATTTGAATGATACTAACTTCTTTCTAACAAGATATACAGGAAAGATGAGCTATACCATAAACAGTATAAAATAAGGAAATGTCAGCTAAGCACTCCTATGATGGCATAGCTATCAAAACACAGATAGCATGAAAATCCTAGCCCTTAATGAAGAAAAAGAGCATTGCAATACCAAAGAAATGCAGAGTGATCAATTTTTGCACCCTCATCAATCTTTCACAGTACTGTAAAGCTACTTTTCTTTTCCTAAAACACAGATGACGCGCTGCTGTGCCCAAAGACCTGAAGGTAGCCGCAAGCAGACAACTGACCTAAGTGAGTTGTACTGTCATATAAGATGTCAAAATGATGAGACAACCTTACTCAACCTCTAGTACAGGAGAAGCAGCACTATGCTTACACCAACTGTATTCACATCCAATTGAAATTACTAACAGCATCTTGGAGAGTTGGAGGAGCTGGAGCCTAATTCAGTAGTAGCATAAGGTACAGCAATGCATTCTTAAAAAAAAAAAGTTTCAAAAAAGAGTAACAACTAGGCATATTCTACTTAAAATTTTATAACGCGTAATTGGAAGCCATTCAACAAAGGTGTTTTTACATTTTTTTTTCCAGATTAATACAGAACTTTACCAACAGAAGAAAACAGATGAAAAACATGTGTGCATATACCTATTATTGCATTTTAAAAAAATGCACAAATTCCACCTTGTCTTTTTTGCTGATGTTTTTTTTGTTGTTGTTTTGTATTCTTACCTTCTACTGCTCTCTTGAAGAAAACTTTACAGCTGCCACATGTAACTACACCGTAATGACATCCAGATGCCTCATCTCCACATACCAAACACACTTTGGAAGGCCTCGAAGAACCAGATGATACACTTCTCAATGAAGAGCTAGAGAAGAACAAAGCAAAACAAAAGTTATGAATATTTCAAATCACACTGGCCACAATGCAAAGTTCAATTAAGAATTTATAACAGGTACATTGCTCAAGGCACCTAACAATTAGGAAACCACAACTCTTTCTGGCAGTGCTTCGTTCAACACATGCGTTGCTTTAATTAGTAGAAGAAATATTTTATTGTCTTCCTTAAAACACTCATAATATATCAATGTTAATGCATGAAATTACCACAAGGGCAGCGGAATTTATTGGTAGCAGATGACTAAAACTGAAAATAAACAAACAAATCACTCTGGCAGTACCCAGAAAACTATATCCTGGGTTTTTCTGATTTTTTTTTTTATCTTTTTTTATGTTTTGTCTCAAGCCCTTACAGGCAAAGTACACCTGTAATAAAGCTGCTGAGACCATTTCAAGAAACCGTACAGCACAGTGGTAACTTCTCTTCCCTTATTCATGGGCCTGCCTATCACTACAGTGGCCCTTGAGTTTTTAACTTATATTTCTGTAATTGAACAGCTTGCTTCCAAGAATAGTGACTTTGAAGCCTTTTTGCATTCAGCAAGTGTAGAATATTCTTCTTTATTATAGTAAGTGCCAGGAGAGTAGCCCTAATATTTTAGAAAACATTCTGAAGTTTTGCAAACTGATGCATCTTGCAAGCTCAACCTCAACTTAAAACATGGGGTATTTTATGTTGCTGGCTTTTTGTTGTTGTTGTTGTTGTTGTTGTTGTTGTTTTTTTAACTATGACTTTCAGAAGATCTCTTTAATTAGTATTTTCTATTGACAGCTCTAAAAGACAGTGCTCTCCCAAAACCAACCCTCATTTCATAGTACAGCGATTCTCCTCCTTCCCTTCTTCCCTGGAGAACTGGAAATGCCACCCTAATGTATAATTGGCATGTTCAGTAAAACACGTCAGATACCAAAGGAGGAGAGAGCTTTGGATCCCACCCACACCTGCAAAGGACTGGGGAGAATCTTCCCCTTGATACTGCGTCTCCCTTCTCCAGGTAAACATGACCTCTTGCATGTCTTCACACCTTATCTCTCTGAATCCTGTCAAGCAACTACAAAAACAACCCTGGAAAATTTTATACCGGTGGTGAAACAATCTGATAGTTCAAACTATAAATCAGAAGCCATTTGTCAGTCAGGTATTGGGCAACAAAGTTCACCGGTAGGCTTAATTCAAATGTAAGATAAGCAGCTGATTAAGAAATTCCAGGGATGCACTCTTTGCCTTTTGCATTCTGTACCTTCCTTTAAAGAGGTACACAGAGGCCAAATGATTTATCCAGGGGCACAGCAGGAATGTCACTCCAGATCAAGGACCACGAGTCCCCTTGCCTGCAGCTTCGCTGCAACATTCAGATGTTAACCAAAAATGTACCCGATAATATTCCTGTTCTTGTCTACTCACTAGTCTGTTAGATTTAATAGTTTTATTCCCTGTGCTATTTATACTTTCATTACATAACATAACACCACTTGATAATTGCTGGGTGATGGCATTAGCTCATCTGCCAGTGAGACAAAGGAAAGCCTCCCTAGACCTACAGTAAGAAAGTTTGATTTGCTCAAGTCACAGGCACGGTTATGCACATTGGGTGAGCAGAGCTGTAAGGCAGCTACTTTGGGATTTACCAAGACTATGCTGCTATTCAGTGCTGCATTTCAGCTCTGCATTTTGATTTGTTCAGGAAATGAATGCGACGAGGGTAAAAAACTCTTTTTCCCTGCAGCACATTGCATATTGTGTGAAAAAAAAATAATAATAAAAAAATGAAAAATCAAGCTTCTCATTAAAGAAATTTCTTCAGAAGGTGTCTGCTTCCTAGAGAAAATGTCAGCAACCTGAAAAACTACTGAGTTGAAAATACATGTTTTGCTTTCTCACTGCAAACTGCAGTATTTTGTCTGAAAAAGGAAACATTTCAGTTCTGACACACCACCAAAAATGTCTCAGGGCATTTGCAATTTCGGTGCTGCATGTCCCCATTTCTTCGTAAGACACAGAAATTCTCCTACTGTACGACTACTGTAGTGCATAGTCTTTCTACCCTGAAAAAGGTCACTGTACTTTTTTATTATCTAAAAAGGTAATTCTGGTAGAGAACTCTTACTGTGCTGAAATGGAGGATCTCACAGCAGTGTGTACATACAGACATGGCTGTGTATATACACAGAGAAATGCTCTTTTTAGTTGAAAATAAATTGTCATGTAGCATTTGCAGAAGGTGGGAGAGCTTTTTTAGATATTAACTACCCCTTAAAATTCCACTTACATGAATTAGTGGGTTAAAAAAAAAGCCAGTAATGACACACTGAGACACTGTTTGATCCATAACTATTATTAAATGCCCACCTAAACCGTTATCTTTAGCATATTTTATACAGTGCTTATCGAGATAAAGGGCTTGAACAGAGTTGAATGGCAAAAGTAGAGCTTGAATGCCAAGCATGTATTCAGCTATTCAGCCACAGCAGCACAGGTGGAAGCGTAACATTCTGGAATAAAATTTAATTAATTCCCATACATCCTTTTAATCAGATTAAAAGTGGAACAGGTTAAAACACAAATGAGATATTTTCATTTTTAATAGCAGTATCCAACATGGAGCAATTCTCAAATACTCTGCTCCAAAGAAACGCTGATATTAGCTGTTGGTACTTAAATCTCCTCCAATTTGTGTCAGTTTAAGCTGTGATTGCCTTTTAATGTTTTGCTTATTTTGTTTTAAGATGACCTATGTTCTCTTTCATCTACGCTACACCAAAGCACTTTCTAATTTAAAATGCTGTTATGTTACTTCATACAGGAGTTACAGTGGTGCTCGTCCACACCTGCAAATAATAAAATGCCAAGTTCCAAAAACATGCTCAAATCATATTGCTAAGCTTCAAATTAAGCCGTTTCCTCCACTGAAGCTATTCTGCTCTCAACAAGGGATGCATGGATGGTTACGTCTTCTCTTCATAAATCTTTTTTACATTGACACCATCATTCCTTTCTTAGAAACTTGACCGTGCTGAATAAGATTTGTATCAAGGCCAGTCTGGTGAACAAACTTCTTCTCTGTCCTCAATTCGAGGCCAGATATCCAGCTTGTATGACACAAACACACTTGATCTATTCATTACTTGCAGTAAACCAACTACTTAATTCATCAGTATAATTACATAACCTATACATATAGGCAGAAACACTACAGTAAAAATACCCCCTCTCTTTGAAAATACTTCTGTCATGCGTGTTGTTCTCAGTTAAACATTTCCCTTTTCATTATTTTTGCCACTGAAACATACCATACATTTTTATTAAATAATACTAACCTAGATTGGTATTTGGGAAAAATACTGTTACTGGGAACAACAATAAGATCTAAGAAATATACAAATTAATTCAGTTCTAATTTTTTTTAGCGTGCTCAGTCTGATTCGTAGCACCATATGAAAAGCTTAGTTACAACAATCAGATCACCCTGGTAGTATATTATTCTCTTGTTTAAAACATTGCAACAGTTGGTCCCAAAAAGATGCTAAAAATTCAGTGGATACCTCATAAAACCTGACTCCCTGGACAGCAATTCGCCAAACATCTATTTCAAAGACACCCTAAATCTAACAATATCCATAGGTCACAGCAGCAGGATAGAGTCTTATAATGCTTAGCACAAGTGAAAACACTGCTTTTACACATTTGCACAAGTCCAAACTAGAGCAACAAGTATTGCTTTGTTATTCACAGGGTTTTTTTTGTTTGTTTTGTTTTGGTTTTTTAAAGTTTTGGACAGTGGGTTACTGCTGACCTGGATTTTTTTTTTTTTTTTGTGGACAGCAATCTACTTTTAATACAACCTTCTAACTGAAAGTACAAGAAAGACAGGATGAGATGCCACAGAGATTGGCTACTCATCGTTGCTTTTGTAAGTCAGTGGTTTCCAGTCTTACTAAAGGTTATCATTTTCATGCCTCTGTCACATTTCCAATGTAAAGAAAAATAAACAAACAAGAAAACATCCTATAACATACTATAGGATGCAAAGAGAAATGATCTAAAACAGCATACATAATTTATCACAGCAACATTACAGCCAGGGGCAGCATGGAGCAGTTTAACAATGTCAAATGTATCTTCTAAATGATTTGTAAAATGGTCACTTAGATGGCTCCACTCCCATTTGTCACGTTGTAGGGTGTGTGACGAGGAATAAGCCTGATTTATTAACTTCAACAGTGCAAATGTTGGCAGTTTAATACTGACCTTGACCAGCCATTGCCATCAAATTCATTTGTGTTTCCACAAGTTGGTTTTAGTAATAGTTATATGGAGAATTAATTAGAAATAACAGATTTTGTAAAGAAGAGTCAATAAACCCACAGATAATCCAGCATTTTAAAAGCCGATTACATAGGTTATTATGCTTCTCAAACCAGATGTCATACAGGAGCACCTTTCTGATGATAAAATAACACACTTCAAAGAAGCACAAGGCACAGTATGAATCCTGAAGTCGTTCGTTCTAAATACTTTCATTAATATGAGAGCTGGATGAATCCTCTTTAAATTCCACATAATTGACTTTTTCATGCAGAAGTTTCCCCACAGTAAAATAGTCAGAAGGAACCTGGTTTGCTCAATAAATACGTTATGAAAAAATAAAAGTAAAAAGTTGAGATTGGCAACAGGGTTTATTTGGTTTGCTGAAAACGTGGGAGGAAGAACAACCAGGAGCTGCCACAAGATGCACAGACTGTCATGACCTCCAGCAGTGGCACGTACCATTTCCCTGATCTCGCTCCACTCCGCTAGCTTTATTGTCAACGCTGAGGTCTTGCTCATGTAAGTTCTGCCTCGTGCAGCCTGACTTTCTTAAAAAGTTCCACTGCAGGAATGTACTCTGGTTCTCTGCTCTAACTACACGCATAAAGCAGATTAGCAGACTGGAAAATGGTATTTCTTAAATGTCAGACTACATAAAC